ACTTAATATTTTACCTGAAGCATGGGTTTCTTATCATGGCATCGACCTGTGCCCTCCGCCTCTCTCGTCCGAAGCCCAGGTAATTTTCTCCTCTTCTTATTATCTTTTCTTTTCATATAAAAATAATCATATAAAAATAATCAAGTATAAAAGTGAAAAACCCTATTACTTATTTTAATATATAAAGGTCAAATAGTGTAGGGTCTTAAATAAATTATCACTTTAGCCCATTAACTATTGATTAAGTCAATTATCTACAATTACCCATCAATTAATTAACTGTAGTTAAATGAATATTTAAAATTTCCACAAATGACCTTCCGGGTCATTACAATAAGGCTTGTAACTATGAATGTTGATTGCTGGGGCTTTGAGAGTAAATCAAATGTGATGAATTATAAATGATAAAGTTTTGAGAGTAAAGATTATATGATGAATGTTTATTGTAGATAGGATTGTTGTGGAAGGATTTACCCACATGCCCTATATTAGGAATGTATGATATTATGAATGTCTTATAAGATCTATGAATATACTTAGTACCGAGTGGATATTGTATATGAGATGGAAGCTTTTACACTAGTTGAGTTCAGCTTCCAATGGGATCTTTTTACACTAGTGGAGTCCAGGTTCCCAAAGTATGTCTCATGAGATGGAAGCCTTTTACGCAAGTTGAGTCTGGGTTTCTAGTAGCAATCTCCTTATCCCATAACTATTACAACCATGATGTGAAAGATTTTTCTCACATAGAATGATTCTAGGTTGAAAGGCTTGCTCACCTAAAATGAATCAAAGCAGGTATGAACTATGTTAGCATTGCAGTAGTGATGTGATATCCCTTCATGAATAGCTTGACTTGGTAAGACAAGACCATGCATGGTAGCTTGAGATAGTAGAACTCATGGATAGCCTTGGATTGAGAAATTGTACCCTTCCAATGTAAGCTTGAACTAGCATGAGAGGATGCTTGCATGATAGCTTGACTTGGTGAGGCCACACCTTTTCATGATAGCTTGGATTGAGCAACAATACCTTTCCTTGAGTAGCTTGGACTTGGATGAGAGTGTGTTTTCCATGATAGCTTGGTCTAGCGTGCTTTTCCTTGATAGCCTTGAATTGGTAAATCGTAACCTTTCATTAGTGATGATGTGTCTTGGACTAGTAAAGAAATACTCTTCCATGATTAGTAAGAATGACTAAAGAGGGGCAAGTCCCTAATCAAAATAGCATGATTATAATGAATCAAGGTTACTTCAAGGAAGTATCGTAAATACATTTTAATATGAGATTTGCTTATATGATGTATGCTTAGCTTGGATTATTGCTATAGTTGCCTTCCTTGTTATGTTTGACTAAAGGTGAATGTTCCCTTGTCTACGAGAAATGAGCTAAGGATAAGATCAAAAGATGATGAACATGAATGATGGCCTAAGGTGGTTACTTAGCATGGGTGAGATTTATGGGGTCTTATCCATGCATTGCACAAGTATGTTTTGAGGTTACTTATGAAGTGTTTCTCTTACCTTATGTTGATTTAGATGCATTGCTATGACTATGTTGTTATATTTTATGTTTATAGCCTATGTCTTATGTTGACTAATGCTTATGTTATGCTCTTAATGATGTTATGCTAGCTATCATATTTAGTACATTATGTACTATTGCATACTCTTGCCTACATTCCTATCAAATGTAGGGTTCGACGACATTGAGTTCTATCCCTGTGGCTAGGTTCATAGTAGAGCAAGGATTGAAGATTTGGTGAGTCTTCATAGCATCGAGGATTTGATCACCTTTCCTTTATTTGTTTCATTTTTATGTTAGAACTTTTGTATGGGTTGCGTCCCAAAGACTATTCATGTTTTAGATGGTTTAAGACAAGTGTTAAAGACTTCCGCTTTGTTTTATAAAAGACTTTGATTGTATGTATAAAATGTTTTAAATTTCCGTACCATTTGATATTACTTTATGTTATGATATGCTAAGTGACTTGTATGAGACCTCTCTGGGTCTTGTACGCCATGTTACATCTAGGGTGTACCCCTGGGTCGTGACAATATAGTTATGTGAAACATATGGCTTCCTTGACCAGAAAAGAGTACTATAACTCTGTAGCTTTAGGACTCCAATATGAGAGAGTTATAAAATAGGATAACTTGCTTTCAAGTATCATATAATCTCTGATTACATTTATCGGAAGAACATGCGACCTTAGGTTGTGCCTTAATAGTGAAAGAGGTTTTAGCTTTACATACCTCACTTCGGGACTTACTATCTTACGTTGTCAAACTACTTTGCTGACAACTTTATCTACAACATAACACCATAAAAGGATACCATAAGAAACTACTCAAGAAGCACAACAAGGCCGAAAACACAATAATAGTTCATGAGCGACAATCTCAACAATTAGCATAGATAAATGTTGTATCGCCACACCTTTCTCTTTCACTACTTTCCAAGTAGGCTCATGATTTTTCACTTGTTCAGTATTACTCCTCAATCCTTTAACCATAAAGAACCAGCCCCCTTAATCATCCACAATCAACATAAAAAGTCAAACGCATGGCCTCCGAACACCATCCCACGAGTTCTTTGTCAACGACGTCAAATTTCTTTATAAGCTCATAGTTTAAGTTGGTAGAGAAATAATGCCATCAATTAAAATAATAGGAGCTCATACAACCAGCTACAACATATTCTTAGTAATTTAGGCATTTAATCAAACACTTGACGAGCGACAAACTTCAAGAACTATAAGAGTCGTGTTTTCTATGCCTAGACTTCCGTTTTATCGTAACCAGCTTACTGTCCCAATACAATATCATTCAACCCTCATCTTGTCAAAATGACAGCCTACACACCCTTCTACAAACTCCCTCCTCACCAAAAACATCAACTACCATGGGTAAACATGGACTCATGGCTTCCTATCGCCGTCCCGTGAGTCCTACCCGTTAATTATACTTAAAGCATCCTTAAAATACTATTTATGGAGATAGAAAAGGAAACATACCTATATATCAAAGACAATCATCCCCTGCCCCTTTCTATTCTTCAAGAACAATACTTTCTCGTTCAAGAAAACATTTAGCTAAGTATATCTATAGGTCTATGGAGAGGAAGACGCTTGATTCTTTAAGAAACCAACTTACCTTAAGCTTTGGAGGATTTGAGATGAGAAAACTTGAAGAAATAACTTGAAACCAGTCCATAAACGTTCTTGAGTATATGGGAAAGGATATCCCAAACTTATAATATAAAAACAACAAGTTTGGCCGACTTTCTCTAAAGTGCCACATGTCCCGCAGCGATTGGGCAGTGTACGCATTTGTCGTAAAATAAACATTACTTTTTACTCTGATGTCGTCTTAACGAGCGGGTTATTTTGCTGGAAACTAGTCTCAAATACCTTTAATTTGATTGGTTGAAGGTCCTCTAACTCCTTATATATTAGGAGATATGCTCGTTCAAAGTCATCTAATAAATGAGATCATTTGTAGTATTCCTCCACAATGAGCCTTTAAACTTGAATCATTTCTTTAATGATCTCCTTGGCCTAAAACTTTTATTTAACCATTCGAATGACTTAATATAAGGGTTACATAGTATGCTTAACCATTTGCAATGATATACTTTCCCCCGATATCACACCTATGCATTGGTGTTTATGAGTCACAAATGTATTTTAAGTTACGGTGTTTTACATACAATATTCTAAAAAAAATACAAATTGACTTGCAAGAAATAGGATACATCTATATTTAAGAAATACAAATCCATTTGACATACCTATTGGAATGACTACAAAATAAAAAAGAAATACAATGTTTTTAATAAAAATACAAATGTTCAGTAAAAGAAAACACAATTGACAAACAAAAATTAATATGAATACAATTTTTGCAACCTTCTTCCCCGACTCTCCCTTCTTCTTTTTCTTCGTCTGCTATGTTCATTTTTTCGATTTTTTGTTCACCAAACCCAATTCAAATCTGTATTCACTTGTGCATTAGTAAAACTCTACCTCGTCATCCGAAAAAATATAATTACCCATGAAAATTAAATAATTAAATTACAATATGAAAACACACTAATAATAACAAGGAATACAATATGAAAAATTATTTCTTAGATTTAAACAATATGTATAAAATGTTGAAAATCTTTTGAATGAATTTTGAGATTTCTTAGAATAATGGATGATTTCAATTTAAACAAGGTTTAAGTTGCTTGAGGAGAGGGAATAAGGGAAAAAATGTGTGAGAGAGAAATAATAGAATATGGGTAAAAAATTTAGAATCAAACTCATACGACACTCACCTAACCATAAGAGGATCCCTCAAATCAAACCCAGATATCTTAAAATCCTCCGCTTGAAAACCTAATCCCTTCACAATTGACTCCTTCAAGTCAGAAAGAGCTTTAGGATATGTAGGATTGATATCTCGCCAACGATAGAAGCTGCAAATGGAGAAAATCAAACAATAATCGCAAAAATAAAGATGGCAAAGAAATAACAACAATTAGATGATCGTCTCAAATCCATTGATAAAAACTTGGAAATTTTAAGAGCAACTGGAAGATGCGATTTGATTCTTTAGAAAAAAGTGAAGATAGTAGAAATTTCTCAAATCTCAAGTAATGCTTAAGAGATGGATTCTTCTTCTTCACGTTTTTTTTCCACTGATAACGAGGTAAAAAAGTGGGCCCAATTTGAGAAAAAAAGGAACGTAAATAAATTATATTTGATAAAATATTAATATGTTGACATTTTTACTAGTTATTTTAAGTGTAGATATTTTTAATAATTATGTTCGGAATTTTGACTAACCCAAAATAGAAGCATTCATGCCAAATTGCCAATGACTCAATTATAATGAAAACCTCGGCCCAATAATATAAAAGGCCCAGTACCAATGATCTTAGTTGTACAGTCAGCATCTCAGTCCACCTCAAGAAAAAAGCTCACACATTTCCCTCCCATTTGATGTTTCCTTGAGAAAATCAAGAATAAGGGGACACAGAGACTGCAGAATTGGATTTTAGCAGCAGTTCTTCTCTCGCCAAAAGACTAACAAGCAGAATTGCAGTGACGAGAAAATGGCTAAGCAGAAGAGAGATAGAAACAATCTCATTGCTTTGACAGGAGCCGCTGCTCTTGTTGCTATTGCAGTCAACTTTGCTATCTCCGCTATCAACAACAAACATCGAAAGAAAAAAGGTTCCTTTACTTTGCTTGCTCCTTTATTGTAAACAAATTTGGGAACTATTGGTGATAATTTGGGAATATAAGTGTTCATTTTTTTTTGTTGAATTGCAGATGTTCCAGGTTCAAAAGTTCGAGTGAACCTATCTGCTTCTGAAATTACGAAATTGGCAGAAAGCATAATTAACAAATCGAAACAGGTTCATGATGCTGTTGCTTCAGTTTCACTTGAAAAGGTACTTATTGTATTTAACTATGCCTAGCTACATTATGGGCTGTCCATTTTATTCTAATATTTTGGATATATCATCTTTCTTGGTTAGGGTACTACAGTGATTGCTGTTTTGTCATGAAATTGAAAATGAATGGACTTTGTATTGTAATGATTCTCAAGTTTGAGGTCCTGGCTGAGTGGCTGAAGTATAAATTAATAACATGAAGATCTTACACTTGAATCTCTGTTGCAACACTTATATGTGTCCTTCTGCTCCAACTTTGGTGGGTAGGTTTGCACTCTGTTGTACAGGAAAACATATTGTTGATGTTGATACATACATATCAAACTTTACCTTGCACCCAAGGGTGTAGCGTAGTGGTCAATGAAGTGGTTGAGAACCATGATGTATCAGGTTCAAAACTCAGTGGAGACAAAAAGAACACTTGGTGATTCTTGCCATCTGTCCTAGCCTTGTTGGAAAAAGTTACCCGGTACATGTTGCTGGTGGGAGGTGGCAGAAATCTAGTGTAATTAGTTGAAGTGCGCGAAAACTGGCCCAGACACCACGGTGATCAAAAAAAATATATCAAACTTTACCTTAGCAAAAACAAAAAAAAATTGGTGGGTTGGTTTACCTACGTGCTTGTGGGTTGTAGGCTTGTAGCAAACTACTCAGTGGATTACTCAAGGGGCGGGTAAGCTTGTCAGGTTACCAATTTCATACAAAATGATTCTCAACTTTGAGGAGTATGTTAAGTTTCAAGTTTTGTTTTGGGACTTGTAGAATTGACATTCAAAATTCAAGGAGGCCTGGCATGATGAAATCATTCACTAATATTAAAAACATTTAGGGGAAGTACAATATCCAAAAGTCATATGACAATAGCTCCTCTTTTCCCTTCTATGACTATAATCTATTCTTTAAATCTTGTAGGTGATTCATATCTTGTGTCTATTCTTACACTTTCTATGTCTTAAGACTATTGCGTCGAGTGAAATATTCAATTGCTTAGGCTTCTACATCTCGATTGCTAGAGAACTATTCACTAACTCTCTGACCACTCTATCTGTTGTGTAATCCACGAACTTAAGTAAATCCAGCATGCTGCCAACTTGGTGATATCTGTCCCAGTGTGTTTACCAACACCAGAAAATGGACAAGTTTTGTTTGTAGGCCTGTTAGGAAGCTCAAAATTGTGTCTTCTTACTTCTTCCAAAGTTGCAAAGGTAAGGCATGAATAGATGGGACTGGACTTAAATTCTATTACCTCTGACTTTACTCCTGGTCGGAATCTTGCCTCCAGCGAACTCCAAACTGTGAATGACAAGGTTAATGGGGGTGGGAAAGTCTTGGGAAGGGCTGTGTGCTTGGATTTTAACCAGGGCCTTTCATTAGGGGATTTCGTACTAGTAGTACGTATATACTAGACGTTGTAGTGTCTTATGCAATACACTTCTGGTATTGAAAACTGAGAATGATTCTCTCCCCACCTTCTCTTTCTCTCTCTCTTAGCTCAATCTGAGCTAGTTCAATCTGCAATCTCACATTTGACAGCGAATAATTATTCGCTCTCTAACCATACCATTTGTTGTGAAATACATGAACTTATCAAACATTTATCTAATGAACTTTTATATTCTGGAAGAGTTTTCTAGCTGATACAAAATGCAATACTATGGCTGATAAGTTGCTTATATGTTTGGCACTCAGTTGTGTTAGTGCAACAACAAAACTGCAATTTAGGCAGGGGGCAATCACTAGTTAGAATTGATGGAATCTTGGGTGATTATATTTAGGTGGCTGGCTGTGTAAAGCCCCATACAGAACACCGACTTAGATACATTGATAGAGGATTAAGTTGCAAACCTATACCATGCCCAAGTGTCAAAGTACTTAAGTATGGTACCCTATGTTTAATTCTGATTAAAATTTTGTTGAGTTCAAATTCATCATGTGAAGAGGGAAGTATCTCATTTAGCTGACTGTTGGACTAACTTGGGTGCTAGGTTGCAGTCTTGTTAACCGAAAACTAGTCTTTAGCTCTTTACCTACTTTTTTGGAGTCAATCAGGGGTTTGTTTTTCTGTGGACTTGTCAAATATTGCTATTTATAACTGTCCTGTGCTTTAAGTATTATGCTTTAATCTGATATATCATATACATTACTCAAGATGTGGCCGGATTTTTAATTTGTAGGTTGGCTATGTAAATGTGATATTGCCATTAGCAGAGTTGGAGGCACAGCAGTTCCCATTGATCCAATCATGTGTCTTTCCTAAATGGTTATCAACTTCTGAAGATGTACGCAAAGCTAGTGCTGAAGCAGAGAGAAAAATAGATGGTCACATTACAATGTGCAGGTTCTGCCATTGCAAATTTCAACGCTTCTATTTCTTTCCACAAATCTTTTAACTGCAAATTCCTCTTCTTTCTGGTATGTTGAAGTAGCAAAGAAGATCTGTCTGGTTCCGAGTTTGATCTGCTGAAATGGAATTTGTTTATTCATTTGAAGTAGTGATATTAATTTGTTGAAATCAACTAGCATGGAACTAAATTATCAGGAATTATCATCCACATTTCATCTTGACCTTTCAAACCACAACTGTATTGACCTGGGATCCTCCTGGTCATTAAGAGGACATGATAAATGTGTATCTTGTTAAAAATCTCAATTTCCACCTTCCATTGTCATCAAGACTACCCTGAATCCTCTATTTATTGTTTTAGTATTTGTCTATTATTAGGCAGAAACTTTAATTTATGATCTATCATCTATGTCTAGCTCATTACCTGTATGAAGTTTTCTTCCTTGACACATTTATGCGAAATCATAAATTTAGTGGCTTGTACTGTATAATAGCTGCCAAAAAACATTGGTAAAAAATACTTAGTTCCAAAATGTAAATTACATATGAGTCTGCTGTGCATTTTGTATGTCGAAAAGCTTACTGACATGACTAGAAAACTAAGGTACAGGTCCTTCAACAAGCTCTTCATTCAACATTCTTATCTAGGATGCCCAACTTGCCATGCTGAGTCTTATTTCTAAACTCCCATCAATAAACACAAGTATGTCTGTAGCTTGAATCTGGCAACTATCTGCTGATGTAAAATCATAAGTAATATTTTGTTGTGCATTAATTTTAAATTCTTTGGACTAAATTTTCTGTCAAATTTTTCCAAGAAGCACTTGTTCTGTAATTAACTAAAAAATCTGAATTTTTCTTTATATGAGATCAGGAAGCGCGAGGATGTGTACAGAGTTGTCAAAGCTTTGACAGTAACAGGGGACAGATTGACTAATGATGCTAAAAGCTTTACTCGGTTCCTGGTATGGGGCATGGGCTGATTTCTTCCCTTATTTGATTTTTCATATACATTGCCATTTGATCATTCACAAGTTATGTTCGTTTCCGCATTCACTCAACCTTTTGGTGGCTTAGTCTTTTTAGATGGTTACGGTGCTTTCATTCTACTTGACGTATTTTCAAGGCTTGTACTTTTTAAAATTGTTGTCTAGGTTTTCCAAAGTTATGTAAGGTGTTCACTTTGTTGAGGGTTGAGAAAGACAAATATGTCTAAATAGTCAGAGCTACGTTTCTTGGGAAGTGAAACCTTCAGTCTTATGCTATTAAAAGATAGAGAATACGTTACTCATTCCACTTCTGGACTATATGGTGGAGATCACACAAGTTTGCTGTATACACGTTTTAATTCTCTACTCTGCAAGGACAGACATTTTAATTTTTTTTCTCTGCAAAATATATTGCTACTAGTTTTTGATTGAAAGCTATTGGAAAAGCATACTTTGTTTCTTCACAATATTGATATTCAGCGCTTATATTTAGACGAGTTTTCTTCATTCTTACAATATATTCATAAAGCTGATATTTCAAGTGTTAAAAAGGTCTGTTTGCCAGGACCTCTCTATCTTATACCTCTGTGTACACTTCCAAATGATCCTTTCTCTCTGAAGTTATTCAAAATATGGTTTTTCCTAGCTGAAGTTGTGATTTTTTATTTGAAGATATTCTTTTCAAATTTTTATGGGTTAAGATTCAGTGACAGGTTCGAGAATTTGAAAGGAATGGTGTGAATCTGACCTTATCTAAGAAAGAGGAGTTGCAGCGTTTAACAGCAAATATAGACGAGCTAAGCATGCAATACATTTGTAATCTGGATGATGATTGTAGTTTTCTACTTTTCACTGACATGGAGCTAGAAGGGTTACCCCAGGAGTTTCTCAAGGTAAGATGTAAGACAAGTTTTCACATCCATCTCCCACCTGATACTTTTATTAGTCTGAACGCACAGCGGAAATTTGTTGCCTTCTATTTCTGTCCTTTTCAATCATCATCACTGCATGTTATCTAGTATGATGAAGTTGCAGAGGGACAATCAATTATCATATTGGGATGTGTAACTTTTACGCTCAGACAAAAATTGATTTTGGGTGGTTATAATAATCAATGGCATCCTGCAGTAGTACATATTTTTATGTTTTTAAACCCTAAACAAAATTCGCTTGATTTGTGTGAGAAATAAGAGAGGAGAAGAAATATATTGACAAGTTGATGATTTAAGGAATACAAAACATCTATTTGTAGGTATCGATATTACAGAAATGATATTTTGTCCAAGTTGGGACAATATTTTACTTTGAAACATGACACTTCTAGTTCTGGCTTTAATATTCTAAGACTAACACTTCACATTCCCTAATATTCAAACACGCCAACTCAAAGTTACAGTGAGAAAATCAACAAGAATTTGTTGATTTTGAAAACATAAAAAGCAAATTGTCACCACCATGGTCGCCGGAGAACCTGCAGAAAGTCAATGAAAAAGATCTAATCACTGGGATCTTGCTGGGAAGTTCTGTTTGCAGAAAGTCTTTGACAGTAACATATAACATTCTAAATCTTTAAGCGAAAATCTTCATGAAATGCATTTCAAAGAGACTTAGAGTTAAGCACTTGTGTTGGCTGCACAAGTTTCAATCATATTCACTTCAAAAAACATTTTACTTGATAAAAAAAATCCCTTTGAAGAGCATTTCCTGAAGCTCTTTTCATTGTTGACTCCATGCAGAGCTTAGAAAGATCTGAAGATGGTAAAAGAAAAATCATTATGAGAAGCCATCAAATTTCACCAGTGCTGGAGCTTTGCAAGGTGAGTCAAGCAGAAATTATGACATGAGTGCATTTTTTTGCTGAAAGGCAATTTTGTGTCACAGGACCATTTTATGTCATTGCACCTAATGTTTGCTTTTTTAGACTTTACGCGGTACATGTTGGTTGTTTGGGACCAGGAAGGTTCATGTGATGCAATTGATGCAGTGATTCCTTTAGGTTCCGTACATTGAAAGTGTAACTTCTCTTTTTGTGTATCACCAGTTGAACTGTTCTCACTTGTAATCGAACATAGTCTGGCTCATATAGTTGAACATAAAGAGCTTCTTTGTTTGTTTAAAACCACAAGTTTAGTGCTGTAATTGGCTTATTAGATTTTGTTGTGGGTTAAGCTTTAGGTATCCCAGTTTATTGGGAAGCTAAATTTTTTTGTGAATTATGTGAATCGATTTGGGGATTTTTAGGTAGGTGTTCGGCGGAGGGGCTAATAGCTGAGAGAAAGTGGTGATAATGGTGGTGGTCACGGTGGTAGTGATGGTGAAGAGGAGGTGCTAGTGGTAGAAGAAAAGTGGGGGAGGGGGTAAAATGGATTGGGCAATGAGGTGGTATGCCACGTGGTATCCACCTCACCAAAATGGCAATGCCATGTGGATTGAACATACATCTTGGACAACTCTAACGGAGGATGGGCAAATTTGAGCTACTTGTATAATGGTAGGGGTATTTTTGCATCGAAAGTGTAACGGAGGGTAAGTATGATCCTTTTGCATAGTAGAGGGGCATTTTTGACCTTTTCCTTCTAAAACCTCTTTCACGAAGTCTTAGGCCCTAAACCTCTATCAACACCTTCACTAGGCTTTGAGGTTGGGTTGTTTTAGTGTATTTGAGTGAGAAATAGAGAGATAGGGGCTTAGGAATAGGAGATCATTGGTTTTAATGGAAAAAGGGGAAAGCTTTTCACGTTCTAGTGTTCTGTCCGGCGGCTGGGTGGGGATTATATTTTTTGTATAGGTAGTTGGCAATGATCTTAAGGTAGACGTTGGAATATCCAACGACCTGTACCTGGCCTAAATGGCTGTCAGCTGGGTCTATTAAATTTTTTAAATTTTATCTTAATATAGACTGTTGAGTACAGCTACGAACTGTCCATTTTCTTACCAAAAAAGCAGCACATACGCTAGTTTTTTTAACCCATTTTAGGTGCGAGTTCTATTATTTATCTCCGGCCAAACTGGGTTTAGGTGATGCTGTTAAGTCCTTGCGCAAAGTTCGAGTCCCTGACAAAAATACCTTTTTATTGCTTCAGTTCAGTCTCTAAAGATCTTTTCAATGCTTTTCATCCTAATTAGTACCTCTTGAAATAGGGTATCATTTTATGCAAAAATGTTACTTCTGAAAGTTCTTTGTTGGTCTTCCTTGATACATCCTAAACATTTGTGATTTAGAAGTTGTTCCTCTTTGAAGGTGGGATCAACCAGAAGAGCTGTTGCTATTTCCTATGGGCACAGATGTGAAGCCAATGTTACTATCCTTGAACAGCTGGTAAGAAAACCCAGAAGTTTGCAGTTTTTGAGCATTTGTGAAGAATAATGTTGACTTGATACTTGATAGTCTTAGTAGTTTTATATTATTGAGTACTGAATGTACTATGAGCTTTTACTTAATTTGTTTGGTTGTCTGTGGAGAGCATTATTTTCACTAAAAATGTTGATGATTAAGGGTGTCTTCAGTATGGAGGAACAATGTTTTTCCAATTTTTCCATGTTCGGTTGACCAAAATTTTTGGAAAATATTTTTTCTAGGAACGCAAGTTCATTTAAAAATGACTTCCCTAATTGAATTTGGGAAAACAAATTCCACAAGTGGCATTTCACATTGATTGTGTCATCCCCACCCTCCAACACACCTCATTTTCAACCCCACCCCCTTAGTCTGTATTCCCCCCTCCCCTGTCTCCCATATTTTTTGTCTAGATTATATACAAATGGTTCTAGGATAATAATTTTTTGCTTACATACTGAACACAAGAAAATAAGTAAACCCATTTATTTTCTTGGAAAACATTTTCAAGAAAACTTTTCCAAGAAAATATTTTTCATGGAAAATAATTTCCTTCATACCGGACACACCCTAAGATGAACTTATTGTCAATGTAAGTTCCTGCTGTTTGTAGATTGACTGACCAAACTGTACTGATGTGCTGCCTTCTCCTATTTCAAATTCCAGTTAATGCTCATGTTACCTGTCCAATTTCAGATTCAGTTGCGTCACAAACTTGCTAGATTGCTTGGCTTTGCAAATTATGCTGACTATGCCACTGATGATAGAATGGCAAAGTCTTCCTCTAAGGTTGGTGCAAATTTTATTGGTGATTGATTTTCTTTACAGAACACGGACAATTGTCCCAAAGAAGAATACACACTCCTTTTGGCTCCTGTTAGGAATGCATGTCTGTCTTTTAACTCTATTCCTTCACTACTATGAAAAAAAAGAGAAGTTGAGAGAAAATACTGCTTGATTATTCCCTCATGCCATTGGCATTTAAATAGCTAAGTGTACATGTTCTAAGAATGGAGAGTGATAGCCTGTTTGCCCAAACTTCTAAAGTGCTTTTCAAAAAAGTACTTTTGGTGAGAAACACTTTGTGTTTGACTAATTAATTTTAAAAACACTTTTGAGCAGCAATTAGCATTTGACCAAGCTTTTAAAAAGTGCATCTAAGTGTATTTTCTCAAAAGTGTTTTTCCAAAAAAGTACTTTTGGGGAAAAGCCTCTTTTCTTTAGCTTCTGAAAAGCTTGTGCTACTCCCCAAAACTTGGCGAAACACCCACTTTTTAAAATGAGCATTTTTTAGAAAAAATACACACTTTTGGCCTCCCAAAAGTTTGGCCAAACAGTCTTTTAATCGAATACATAATTATGGGTAGTAAATCATGGTATACTATTTACAAGACCCTGGAATATCTACAAGATTCTAGCACTCCCCCTTAAGTTGATGCATACAACCCATATTTATCAAGCTCGTTACAAAGGTAACTGATATGAAATCGGTGAGTGACTTGGTTAAAATATTTGGAAGCTAATAATTTGACTTAACTAATGTGCCTGCGGCCCTCAGTGCCAAAAGTTTCCACTTCAAGTCAAGTAAATGGGTGTACTCGGAATGTGCCTGCGGCCCTCAGTGTCAAAATTTCTCCAATAAAGTACTGGAAAAAGGTCCATGCGCTGGGGCATGAACTTAAGCTTTGCCAGAATCTGGACTGTGGGAGGTGTGTGACAGTTCGTGCGGAGGTATTTCTGGGAGATGCTTACTGGGCTTTTGTCACCGGTGCAAGAGGAAGTCCCTGTTGGTGTTTGTTTTTGCACACATTCCGATGCATACAGCCACCTCAAACAGTAAAAGAGGGAGGAGAACTCAACTTCTTGGAACTCTAGTGCTGTAGCGGGAGAAAGCTCACCTCAGAAGGATATTAGTAGCTCTGATACCATGCAGATTTCAAGAAGAAGAAAAGTCTTCTTTGTAATTTTTGATGAATTTACATCCCATGAGAATGGGTACTTCTACAATATGTCCGACTAAATAAGCAAAGAAAGTATTACATAATCAATTACAATCAATACAATATCCATTACTCCTATAATTAAGTTAGGAAACGAATCAATCACCAAAAAACTGTCTAAAAGGATGTTTGCCCTTGTGCTAAAGAAACTTGTTAGCACCCTTTAATCAAAAAGTTGATTAAATCAGCAACTATTAATTATGTTTTTGTTTTCCTGTGGCAATTGCTTTCTTTGTTGCAGTTATTAGCAGTAAGGAGGTTATTCCTCCACTTTCTCATTTCAGTAGTAGTAGGAAGTTATTTCCTTGTTATAAGGTGGGTGGTTAATTCACCAGTGTTGTATTTAAGTTATTTGAATTAAATGGAAAGATAAGCAGAAAATTATATTAAGTTTTTGAGTACTTCAAACTCAAGAGATTGCAAGTTCTATCTTAACAAACCAGCACCATAGGTCGTAGGAAGAAAACATTTGATTTCATATTGTAGCGCCCCATAACTAGATCCATATCAGGGGACCATAACAAAACTCAATATAATTGGGTAAAGAAACCATTCAAATCATTCAAAGTAGGATCCCAAGGATTTTGTACCAAAAGCCTCGACTCCAAGTCAAGTAAATGGAGTTGTAAGCTGAATAGAGTTTTCCTAAATAGGGAGCTGAAGATGTACTGAAAGTGCTGGAAAGTGACCCTGTTTGCCGGAAAGGTCACCGAAAAAGCTTCTCAAATCATTTTGAGGGTATTGGGATGTCGGTCGACTGGTAGTTTGCAAAATATATGGTGAAAAGTGGTTAAAAAATATCAGATCTGTCAGATAAAGGCTCTTCGTCAACCAAAAACTGATGGAACTTTGATGGTAAGGTTAGATCAAATAGGCGACCCCCACAAACCAAAAACAGCGAAGAAAGTTTGTTGGGAAAAGGTCGCACACACTCCAGAGTTAAATGTCGGTGGTGCATGGATTCGCGTGATAGGGTTTCTGACAGTTAGTTTCTGGGGTTGAGTTGCATGATGAAACAGGGTCTCACTGGTATGTGCACGTACTGACAGAGAATGACAAATTCGTTGGACAGTAAGCACAACAACGATAACATACCTGGTGTAATCCCACAAGTGGGTCTAGGGAGGGTGATCAGTGATGTGTACGCAGGTCTTACCTCAACTTTGTGAAGGCAGAGAGACTGTTTTGGATAGACCCTCAGCTCATGTAAAGCATTTTAAAGCAGGTTTGAAAAGTAAATACTAAATACAGTAGTGAAGAAACCATGTCGCAAATAATGTAGAAAAGAACAGTAACAACAACAAATAATACAATACCGAAGCAAGGGAAACAAAAAATAATAATATGAATCATAGAAATAGAAGAGTAAAAGTTATAGGAGAGTAGTAAGAATAGTAATAGAAAAGTAATACTAATAATACTTGGAAGGAAAAACTAGACTACGCACAACTACCAACTAAACTTCTATTTAATACTCGACCTCCATATCTTCCTATCTAGGGTCATTTCCTCGGTAATCTGCAGATGTACCATGTCCAGTCTAGTCACCTTTCCCCAATGCTTCTTCTGCCTACTTCTACCTCTCCTCAGATCTTTCTTTCAAATGTCGTACAGTAAACACACTAGCCTGAAAATTGCACGACGATGGAGTTTCTCGCTTGTATGCTGCTGGTTACTGCACAACAGCTAATTTCTCACTTAATTACAGGGAGTAAATCATGCTATACCAGATCCTAGAATATCTACAAGATTCTAACAACTACCTTTTCTTTCCTTTTAATAGTCCTGACCACTACTTTATAAACAAGAGAAGGATGTTGTCCAAAATGTTAAGAGGTGTTGAATATCTTTTTTTTTCACTATATGCAAAGACTAACAAATTTTATCTCATAGATTGGAATGCTTCTTTCAAATTTGCAAAATGGATTGTTCTTCTGTGCTCATGATTTTGAAATTTCTTAGGTGTTTGAATTTCTGGAGAGTCTCTCTGCCAGCTTAAATGATTTAGCCTACAGGGAACTTTCAATGCTTAAAGCGTTAAAGGTAAGTTCAAATTTACAATATGTCAACTTCAGAGTTCAGCTTATGCTTGGTCTGCTTCACCTATATGCTTCACCTCTTGAAGATTTTTTTGTTCTGGTAATACAGAAGAAAGAGGAAGGTGAATCTCCTTTTGGCATGGAGGATCTCTCATACTATGTCAAAAGAATCAAAGATCAACAATTCCATATAAATTTTGGAGTAATTAGACAATACTTTCCTATCAATTTGGTTTTATCAGGCATCTTCAAAATATGCCAAGATTTATTTGGTAATCACTGCAAATTGCATTTGGTGCTGTCTTTGATCCTTCTTTCCTAACTCATTGTGCAAGAACGTAAATAATTAAAATTCTTTGTTCAATATTAGGTTTAGGTTTCAAGGAAGTTGAAGGTGCTGCGGTTTGGCATCCAGATGTTCAACTTTTTTCAGTTTCGGATCTAAGTTCTAAAGAACTTGTTGGTTATTTTTATCTAGATCTGTACTCCAGGTTATCCCAGCTCAATTGTTCTTCTACATGTTTAATGTGCTTGTTTTATCAGCTTTATGGTAGAATACTTAAAATATGTTACAATCTTAACAGAGTAGGCAAATATGCTCACACCTGTGTCATAGCTCTTCAGAATGGCTTACTAAGTAGTGGTTCTAGACAGGTAACTGCAGAATGTATCACTTGCTTGGTTCTAGTGCTTAGATTTTCACTTAACGACACTTCCTGGAATCCAGATTCCTGTGGCACTACTTGTTTCTCAATTTGAAAAGGAAGTTGATGGTCACCCTCGGTTATTGCAATTCTCGGAAGTGGTTAATCTTTTTCATGAATTTGGTCATGTGGTATGTGTTTTTCCTTTGAAGCACAGTGCAAAATTTAAAAACTAGTCTAAATTCCAGTTATTTCTTTTGTCACGTTATAATGCAATTGGAGAGCAATGTTACTCTGGCACTTGCCTTCCAACTAATTACTCTGTTTTTTATTTTAGCCCATCTTGCAAATATTGTTTTGTCTAGTAATTTTAATTTTGAGGAAAAACCTTGTGGAGCACTCTCTGACATTGCCAGCTAAGCGACTTGTTAGTCAAGGAGTGCACTGGATTCATTCCAAGTAACTACCACTGCCTTCAAAAAATGGTTTTACTTGGGTTGGATCCATGTTAAATCATTGCTGAGCTGCCTTACTTAGCAATTATACCGATCATCTGGAGCTCTAACCAAAGAATTGAAGTATGCTGCCATGAAACTATACTGTCTACATTGCTTTGAAGGAGAACTACAGAAACCGAGACATATCTTGTTAAACAGTTAAAGCTACTAGAAAACTTTCACAGAGAGATGCTTGATCTTATTCATAGCTGTTTGTGTTTGGAGTAAAGAGTATCATGTGTAAAATTCTGACACCCATGACGTAGGGAGGGCTGATGAGGTGGGGTCAAGGAGAGTGACTGATAGAATTCTACTTAAGCAAGCTCCCTAATAAGGGGTCATATATGATATGACACATTAAGTAAATCCCACATGGAAAAAGGAGAGAATAGTATATATAGGATAGAACACATTGCATGGTACATGTCCTTTTTAGCTTGATATGGCGTAACTTAAGACAAATCTATGAGGTCTTTTAAGCCAAAGTGAACAATAGGTACTATGGGCTTGGTTTTTGACAAATATAGAGTCAAATCCATACTCTCACAGAAGGATAGTTGAGAAATGTAAGGAAGGATGCTGAGTCCTAAGGGGAGTCAGGAGTGTATGTGATGCCCATGAAGGAGGCCAAGGTGATAAAGACGTGTTAGGGCGAAAGACTGACAGACTTTGTTTAAAAGGAGTGCATATGACACTTATCTCACATCAGAAAGAGAGAGTGATGTCTTAATTATTATATAAGATGAGACAGAGCACACACATGATACATATGTTGTTGGGCTCAATGTGATATTTCCTATGGGGTAAATCTGTAAGATCTGTTGAGTCAAAGAGAACACTATGTACCATAGACTCGAGCTGTGACAAAAATTGAATGACTAGCCACATAAGTCCCAAATCTTTTTGACAAAGAACTCTTTTGTCCTCCTAGTTAGATTCTGCTTTTTTAGTCCTTAGATTTCATTTGCCTTTGTTCATGCAGTGTTCTGTAGGGTGACATGCTTGCATAACAAGACCTACTGTATAGGCAAAGTAGAGAAAATCTAAAGGGAAAACCATAGAACAACTGACATGATTAACGATAACTTCTCTCTTTTCTATTCTTTTATTTTCGTCCCTTTGTCCTCTTTCTTGCCCCTGCCTATCCTTTGCACTAGCTACACAATCATTTTTGACCCCCGCTAAGAGCTTCTCCTTTGGGTGTGAATGCTTTCATATTTGTTGATTGTTCTAAAGTTCATACCGATTTTCAATAAGTTTATTGCAAATAACCAATAGTAGACTTCCTTTGGCAGTTATAATCGTCTCGGTTTTTCCTGGTATGAAAGTGTATCAGCAGGGGCATTCTCTTATCCTTCGTCAGCAGAAATATGCCTTAGATCTCTTGCCTTGTGCAGACATGCTTAATTCTTGTTCTTTGGCCATTCTCACTAGTTGTACTGAGCTTCTCAAGTTGGACGTCACCTCCCTGTCCGATCTAGTATCGGTTTGGTTATGTTAGTTTTTTATACTATTATTTTAATAATAACCTGTACAAGTGTCAAAGATGATAGTAGGGTGTTTTGTTTTTTATATAATATAATACCCTATCCGTTCCACTTTTGATAAGGAAAATATTACTATTTGGAAGTGAAATATTTTTTTTTTACCACAATTCATAATACTAACAAGAGGTTAGAAGCAGGCACGTCGATGTGGTTGCTTCATGCCAAGGGTATTTTGAATTTCAAACCTCTTCGTCCACGTGCCTCTTCCAGTGCCATCTCAACAGTATAAAAAAAGAGGCATGTGCCTTAGGCCCCCAAATTTGAGGGCCCCCAATGTTTAACAATAATAGGTTATAGGTTATCTTTGTAAAACATATGAAGTGTTATTTATAGAAAAAGTAAATTTTCATATAAAATGAAAGAATTATTAGAAGTTTGACATATTTTGACTACTATATCTCATGAAAGATAATATAGATTGATTATATTATCAATTGAAAAAAGATATTAGAAGAATCAATTGTATAAAAGTTATTAACATTTTCATAAAGTTTAAGGCCTCTGTTTGATTTTGGCTTTAGGCCACTAATATGCTTGAGTCACCCTTGCCTGCTTCATGCCAAGAGTTTTTTGGAATTTCAATGTCTACTTTAAAGGTACTTTACAAATGCTTTTCCACAGATAGTTTGGTCCCACGGGCCACGTCAATAAAAGCTTTTCTCAAATGTGTCGTTTTTCTGGGACTGATTAAAAAGGAAAACGTGTCACATAAATTGGGGCTGAAAAAATACGTAGGGCCACTTTTAGTATGATTTGTTGCGCCTGTGCTGGCACGGGCTTTGCATCTAGTTTCTTCATATATTCTAAAAAGATTTGTAATTATAAAAGATGGTAATTTATAAATTTTATCTAGTTTCTAATCATGTATATCCTATTTTAAAAAGATTATGAAACTGATATCTGAATTAAGACTGAAAATTAGAAGGTTTTGATCCTCCATACTCCGGACCTCTTCATTCTTAGTGACGAAGCTTAAGATGACATCCCAAATAAAGGATTTTCCCTATAAAATCAATACTAGCGAGTGATTAATCGTAAAGAAAAATAGGCCAAATAAGCAGACTAGTTTTTTGATTTCTTAGGTCTAATATCCTTTTAGCCATCACTAAGTATAACATCTGAAAATTTTAGTTCATTACTTTTTTTTTTTTTGAAACTGGTAAGGTTGTATTCTTCAGCATTAAGGGCATGCTGGCCACCACCAAAAAGTGTCAATTACAAACTTCCTATCAAATCTACAATCTGATCTGTATCTACTATACACAACTGTTTACACCAAAAAAGTAGAGATACTATACAATTCCATTTGACCTTGTGTATGGAATTGGATCTATTGTCGAAACATCTACTGTTCCTTTCCTTCCAGATTGACCACCATATACATGATGGTATTAACCTCCACCATCTCTTCTGGCTCTTGGTACCCCCTCTCCTTATCCAGCTCTTCAACACGTTTGATGTACGTTCTGGCATTGTCCAATTCAGATTTGAGATGCTAAGGAACAAATTCCAGATTTGAGCAGTGTAATTACAGTGCAAGAAGAGGTGGCTGTTAGTTTCACTTGTCAAATTGCATAAAAAAACCTAGGGACCAGCTGTCTACCCTTCTTCTGAAGTACTTCTTGTGTTAAACAAGCTCTCTTTATCACTAGCCAAGTGAAGCATTTCACTTTTGTAGGAATATCCCCCTTCCAAAAATAGTTCCAGAGGTGTGTTGGTCTCCCTGCCATCACCTGGAGACCTCTTCTGTAAGCACTGTTGACTGAGAAGAGGCCATCTTTGCTGTGCTTCCACAACATCCTGTCTGTGGCATTTGCATTGATGGTCACTCCGCCTAGCATCCCTAATATCTCAGCTACCCTTTCCACCTCCCAATCATTGAGAAGTCTTCTAAAAACTAGATCCCAGCCCTGTTCAGTCCAGCAATCGCCAACATTGGCATCAGGATTTCCACAAATTTGAAAGAGATCTGGAAAGAGGTCTCTAAGAGGGGATTGGTCTATCCAAACATCCTTCCAAAATTTTGTTTTAGTGCCACTTCCCACCTTGATATATAAATTTGTCTCCATTTGTGACCACAAGTTTCTAATTGATCTCCATGCACCCACACCATAAGGTTCTGTTGTGATCTCTGTACACCAAGGGTTTAACTCACCATATTTTGCTATGATCACCTCTTTCCAGAGGGAATTTCTCTCTTCAGTGTACCTCCACAACCACTTCTTCAATAGGCTCTCATTCTGTAGTTTCAAGTTCTTAATTCCCAGCCCCCCTCTGTCTTTGCTAAGTAGAGCAGTTTCCCAGTTTACTAAGCTATAGCCTTTTCCATCCTTGTTGCCTTGCCATAAGAATTTTCTCCTTAGCTTATCCAGATTTTCCACTACTTTTCCTGGGATTGGGAATAGAGACATCACATAAGTGGGCAGAGAATCAAGAACAGAGTTTATTAAGATCAATCGTCCTCCAAGTGAAAGATATTGAGCCTTCCATCCAGAGAGCTTCTTTTCAGTTTTCTCCAAAATACCATCCCATATTTCCAAGGCTTTGTGATTGTTACCCAATGGCATGCCTAGATAGGTGGTAGGCAGCTTCCCAACACTACACCCTAGTATGCCTGCCATCTCTTTTATCTGAGGTACCTCATTCACAGGGAAGAGACTACTTTTTCCCCAGTTCACTTTCAATCCAGAGACTGCTTCAAAAAGTACCAATATCACTCTGAAGTAGCTTATCTGTTCTTCTACAGGATCACAAAGGATGATGGTATCATCTGCGTAGAGCATATGACCAATTTCTCTTTCTTCCGCCCCTCTGCCTCCCACTTTGAAGCCTTTGATCCATCTATTTTGTGTAGCAATCCTCATCATAGCATTAAATCCCTCCATTGCTAGGATGAACAGGAAAGGGGAGAGAGGATCACCCTGTCTCAGCCCCCTTTCTGATTCAAAAAAACCCACAGGTTCTCCGTTCACAAGCACAGAGAATTTAACAGTTTTGCTGCATGTCTCAATCCACTTCAGCCATTTGTCCCCAAAGCCCATCTGGCTAAGGATATTTAAGAGAAAAGACCAATTTACATGGTCAAAAGCCTTTTGGATATCCAGTTTGCACATTAAGCCTGGGCTTCCTTCCTTTATTCTGGAGTCAATGCATTCACTAACTATGAGTGCAGCATCCATGATTTGTCTCCCCTTCACAAAAGCCATCTGATGTTTGTTGATCAGTTTATCCAACACTGGCTTCAATCTTTCAGCCAACAGCCTAGCAATGAGTTTGTAGACACCCCCTACTAAGCTGATTGGTCTAAAATCCTTCAAATTGGAGGCTCCCGCTTTCTTTGGAATTAAAGCAATAAAAGTTGCATTAAAACTCTTTTCAAAAACTTGATTGGAGTGAAAAAACTGAATAGTTTTGATAATATCTTCCTTCAATAGGGTCCAAAAAGTTTGGAAAAACATCATTGGGAATCCGTCAGGGCCAGGTGCTTTCTCTTTTGCACACATGTTTAAGCTTCCCAAAATTTCCTCCTCCTCAAAGGGTCTTTGCAGCCACACCTGCTCTTCTTCAGAAATTCTTGAAACATCTAATATTCTTTGATCAGGTCTCCACCCTTCAGTCTCTTTGTAGAGGTTTTTATAGAATTCCTGCGCTGCTTCTTTAATCCTGATTTGATCCTTGGTGATTTCACCCTCCACCTCCAGCTGTTCCATTGAGTTGAACCTTTTATGAGTGGTTGCAATCCTGTGAAAAAATTTAGTATTTTTGTCCCCTTGTTTTAGCCATTGGATTCTAGATCTCTGTTTCCAAGCTATCTCTTCCTGCTTTGCCACTTCTTCAAATTCCATACCCAAGTGAGTCTTCTGTATCATCTCGTCGTCAGTGAGTGGCCTTTGTTCCTGAATTGTTTCCCAGCTTGAGATTTGGCTCAGGATATCTTCCTTCCTTTGCTTCCAATTTCCCTTATTGGTTTTGCTCCATTCTTTAAGCTTTGCTTTCAGCATCTTTAATTTTTCAGCCAGAATATATCCTGGTCTTCCATTCACATTGAAGGATTCCCACCACTCTCTAACTTTTTCTTTGAAACCTTCAACTTCTAGCCACCATGTTTCAAATTTAAAATATGATTTTCTCCACCCTTCATCACCACAAGACAACATGATTGGGTTATGGTCAGAAGCAATCTTTGGAAGACTGCATTGATTTATCTGAGTGAAATTTTCTCCCCATTCTGCACAATGGAGAAATCTGTCGATCCTGGAGGCACAATTATGATCCTCCCCCCTTCTCCAAGTGAAAGATCCTCCAAATAAAGGAGGATCTACCATCTCTAGTTCTTCAATGCAAGCTGAGAATTCTGTCATGGCACCATTTTGCCTGTTGCAGTTTGTTCTTTCTGTAGCAAACCTGGTGACATTGAAGTCACCACAAACAACCCATGGTCCATTAATGCTAGTTTTCATCTGTAGAAGTTCTTGCCAGAGCACTCTTCTGATCACTGTATCACAGTCCGCATAGACTGCAGTAATACACCAATTGAAGTCATCATGTATTCCAGAGAATTTCCCAGTTAAACATTGACTCCCAACCAAAAGTAATTCCCCCCTCCAAACTCTCTTGTCCCATAAAATCATGATTCCACCACTACTACCCTGGGCCTCTTTCATTAGTACCCCTGCCCATCTATTATTCCAGATGCTTTGTAGGATGTTGTCAATTTGTCCATTCAATTTAGTCTCAACCAAAACTATTATATCAGCCCCCCATTGCTGCAGTAGCTTTCTCACAAGCTCCCTCTTGTTCTCCCCGTTTAAACCCCTTACATTCCAAGAGAGGATTTTTACTCTCATTTTTGTTTCAGAGATAGAGTCCTCCCATTTGATCTCGGTTCACCATCTTTGAAGTTCACATCAAAAATTAAATTTCTAACTTCTTTTGGAATTGAGTTGATTGTATTGTTGCTCTTTTGACCCTCTCCTGTCATCTTTTCCTTCCCTGTTCGCTGGTCAAGTTTCATCAGCAAGGCGTATGCTTCTTTTTGGCATCCTTTGAGGTCAATTCCAAAGTGCTGGCTCAAACTGATCATGTTAGCTTGGACCCATTCATTGGCCGTAGCTTCAACATCTCGTTCTTGATTGCTGCTATCAATTTGGATTGGTACCGGTTCTGAATCTGCATACATGACGACCATTGCATCAGAGAAATCTATCTCCTCCCCTGTTCTCTGTTGTTTGCTTTCAGCAGTCTTCTGTATAGCCAAATTATCTCCCTCTTTAAATTTTTGTTTGTGTTTCGTGCCATTCTTCTTTCCCCTCCCTCGCCACGCTAAAGGGATCCCTCCCTTGTCAAACTCAATTTCTCTATCTCCATCGAAATTCACAAAGTTTCGATTCTCTGGCAGATTCTTTTCCATAATCGCTTCAATAAAAGGCTCTGTAAAGTTGAGAATTTCAGGGCCTGATTTAAAGGCTGCAGAAGTGGGCTTCAAAGGAATTTCATTGGGCTTTCCTTTAGTGAGCCCATTTGAGAGGCCATCAGCAATTAAATCATGGGCCCCACTTATATTCTCTCTACGCATGTAATTTCTAGGGCACACCCATTGGTCCTGTGAATTCAAAAATTTCACGTGTCCAGCCACGTGATTTCTGTCAGCTGAATTTCCCCCTTTCTCGTATAAATCGAGTTTCGATGTTCCTGCTCCATCTGCCAGTCTCCCATTTTTGTGTAAAGCTTCTGACCGTTGGGCCAAGATGTTTGACGATCTGAATCCTGGTTCAATCTCCACCTCTCTAGACAGCGAAGCCTCTTGCTTTTTCCGGTATAGTGCCGGTAACTCGCACCATATCGGAAGGGAGTAGATGAGGTCACCGTCCGCCACTTCAATAGATGTCGGAATCTTTTCTTTCGGTCCCCTGACTCTAATCCTTGCCCATCGAAGGTGGTTTTTCAGCTCGGTTTCTTCTTCATTCTCAAGCCATCCACCACATGCATCCCCAATCTCTTTCATCATCTTTGAGTTCCATAAATGCAATGGAAGACCCAGCACTCTGATCCAAAACCATTCAAACCTGAAGGTTTCCGGCAGTTGTTACCTATTAGCAGAAATAAAAATAAAATATGGGGGATTGATAAAAGGAGAACTAAAATGAATCAGTTGGTTGGTAGACTTGATGATATTAACTAATCTCATATGTCGTCCTCCTATTGAATTTTTTCTATGAAATTGTAAAATCATAGTAGAATGATTAACAAAATTGAAGTTATAAGTTGTCATCTGAAATAAATCTCTACTAGCTTACGGTAAGTTCTGATTTTTGAACATCCTTTGCTTATGACTAGGGGTGTCAAATGGGTGGGTTGGGTTGAAATTGAAAATATGAAATGGGTTGAAATAGAAATTGGGTTGGGTCTTGACCCGCCCAAGTTTACTTTGGGCACAAATGGGTTGGGTTCCAATGGGCTTAAAAACGGGTTGGGTCTTGACCCGCCCAATTTGACCCGCTTAATTCAATAATTTTAATATATTGTTATTTAAGTTTTATAACCACAATTTGAATTTCAACTAAAGAAAATTTTAAAAAAGAAGCTACAAATTGATAGATAAATCTAAAAGATATAAAATAGAAAGTAATTCATACCTTTAATAAAAGAACATACATTACATCAATGTAAATAAAGAGTCTTAAAACGGGTTGAAATTGGAGATTAAATTTGGCTCAATTGAGGATTCTCTTAAATGGGTTAGGACTTGAATGGGTTGAGATTGAATCCAATTCAAATTATCTTGAGCCCAACCCTTAAAATTATGGGCGGGTTAGGTGGGGTACCTACAATTGGGCTCAATTTTGGCAGCTCTACTTATGACTATAAGGTATTAAGCAGGTAAAACCTTTTTCTATGGTGTACTAGTTCAGTAATTAGTCTGGCTTCGCTCCCTCTAATTTATGCTCCTGTAGATGCTCCTCTTAAATGTGTACTTTTGTTCTGATGTTTAGCCTACATTTGGCGGGGCACCAATTTGTCAATACTTGTCATTTAGCTGTGGTACTCATGTTGATAAAATTTTACTTGTACTTCTCTATATAAAATCTCATGCACACTTCCGGATTGATTTTTGGAACAGCTACGCTTATTCTTACTCATCTATTTGCTTCAGGTACATCACATTTGCAACTGTGCATCATTTTCCAAATTATCGGGGCTGCGTCTGGATCCTGATTTTGTGGAGATCCCTGCCCTTTTGATGGAGAATTGGTGTGTTTTAAATAGTTTCCCCTTTATATTGAGCTTCTGTATTGTTAGCTTATGGTCTTATAAGTTTGAAATACTTGTGCCAGGTGCTACGAAAGCCTCTCCTTAAGACTGATCTCTGGCTTTCATCAGGTACTTCCACTGTACTTTCTTTCCATTCTCGACTATTTTCAGTAGGATGAGACACTTCAAATATTTCAGATACTCAGACTTGCTACTGTTCTTTTTTCCCTTGCTCTTCCATCCACGATTGCTGCTGCAAGAAATGTTCTTTTGAGTCTTGAGAAGTTCCATTAAAAGAATGAAAATAATAAACAGTCACTTTGAGGAAGAAACCAAAGAAAAAGGCCTTGTACATTTGCTTTTTTACTTGCTTATGTTAACCTTCATGCTAATTGAACCATAGACTTCAAGTTTGACACACCGGTTTCAATTCAGAAACCATGTTTGATGTGAAAGTTATTGCAAACAAGTTTGGTAATTATTTTATATCAGATCGTTCGATTATGTTAATCCTCTATCTCAGTCATATGCCTTTTGTAGGATATCACAAAGCCCATTAAGGATGATCTTTGTAAATCACTTAAGAAATGGCGATGTTCCTTCTCAGCACTGAAATTGAAACAGGAGATCTTTTATTGTAAGCCTTTCTATTAACTTGCTAAAACTTGGCAATTTACTGGTTCTCCTTCTAATCCATGAAAGGCTAATTTATTCTGTTCTTTGGGCCCTTTTAGATGCTAAAATTGGTAATTTGGTATTCTTCAACTCAAGCATGTATAACGTGATATTCTAGGAAATATAAGAATTTTGTCAGATACAACTGCTACTGCATGTATTCAGAACTTGCGCTTGTCATGCATGCCATATTAATTTGCCACTGTTTCATGACATGCTTACTCCTTTCCACTTTTTCTATGATATATTCTTGGGATGTACAATGTTACATGTTAAATAATCAGAAATAATCTCATGTTATCTATAAAAAGAATCACAAATACCCATATGTCATCTCTACTTGCTCCAGTCTGGATTTGTCCTGCTTCTGAACCTGAGCCCATTATCTTATGTTATCAGAACGTGTACCCTTACTGTGTAGGAGAATACCCAATTGAGGCACACTCTAGGATCAAGTTTCCTAGAAATTCTTAGTGTGAACAAAGCAGAGACACCCAAACACCTTCAGAGGAACAATATATCTATTCTCACTCTTTAAAGCCCCTAGAGTCTAGAGGACTGAAAATTGAGGATTTGAAGTGGTATTCTATTGAAAAGATAGGCAGCAACTAGAATGACATCCTCCCAGTAGGTTTTTGGTAGATTCATGGTAAACATAAGAGATCTTGCCACTTTTTAAAAATGCCTAATTTTCCTTTCAGCAATCCAATTTGTGTACTAATGTAGGGACTTATAGTTTGAGATTATCCATTGAACTTTGATAAACACCAAATCTTTTGTCCATGTATTATATGTCACTGTCAGATTTTTATTTTAGCCTCAAATTGAGTACAAGTCATCTTATGAATGACTGAAAGCAATAGAAAACCTCACTTTTGGCCTTCAATAGATACACCCATGACATCCTACTGTGTGACGATCAATAAAGGTAACAAACCTTTGATTCCAGACAAAGAAACAGTTCGAGTGGGGGCCCCACATCATAATGGATAATCTAAAAGGAGTAGTACTTCATCGTCACTCAAAGGGAAAGAGTTTCTAGTATGCTAGGCATATTCACAAGCATCACAAAATAAAGAGTCAAACTCAGTTCTTGAAAACAAACTAGGATATAACTTCTGTAAAACAAAAAGGGATGGGTTCCCCAACCGCCATTGCCACTAAGATTATTTCTTGGTTGACATCCATATTTCCTCCAAAAAAATGCTTTGACCAGACTCTAGAGTCTAGAGTTCCATCAAACATATATAAGCCATCATGCAATTTACCACTGTGAATCCACTTCCTTGTTTGAAGATCTTGAAAAGCACAATGATTAGGGAAAAACTCGCTACTACAACTTAGTTCCTTAGTGATGGCTGTAATAAATAAATGTAATGTCCCATTTCATGAGAAATTACCTTTGTGTGAAATGACCATTTTTCCTTCACCTTAGTGTTATCATACTTTTTATGTGTTGCGAGAATGGTTAGCGTGGTCCCCGATGCGATTGGGTGAGATTTTGATGGATTTAAGCCTTTTGAGTGGAGTAAGAGCTATACTAAAATAGTTGACTTTGGTCAACATTACGAGATCCGCTCATCGGATGGTAATTTTGCCAGTTCCTTTGCGTCCGGAACATCGAGTTTGGTCTTATAGGGTGGTTGGTTAGAGTCCCAAGACCTTGGGTTGAGATTTGGGTGCTTAGCGAGAAGTTGAGTTTTTGTCCTAAGAGAGGTCCGAGAGGATATTTCTTTCATAACAATCTTCTTTCGGAATGATTCCATTGAGTCTGGAATATCAAATTTAGTGGGGTAGCATATCTGGTTTATTTTTATCAGGTCCCGAACGAATCTCGAGGATCTGTTCAGAGACTTTAATAAGATAGAAAATGCATTTTCTGGTGTTGGTGCAAGATGACCGTGGTCAATAGACCCGTTTTTAGGGTTGAAACAGCCCTGTTTTGGGATTCTTCCCTTTTTTTCTTATTTCTTCCATTTTCACTCGATTGGGAGCTTTTGGAAAAGAGACTTTTGAGAAATTTCTTGAGGAATCTCGTGTAGGTAAGTCCCTTTATCGATTTTATATCGTTTTCTTCGAATTTCATCTTCAAAACACTTAAAAATCAAGATTTCAAATGAGGTTTTCCCCCCAAATTGAAAAATTGTTATTTCTTTGATTTTAGGCCCAATTCCTACTCGTTTTTGATGGGGTTTTCAACCACAAACTTCTTTTTACTTGAGGAATTTGTTTTTCAACTAAAATTCTGATTTTACCCTTTTCGAACACAGGCTAAATTTTTTAGCCCCCACATAGGCTAAATAACACAAATAAGCCCCCATACAGGCGAAGCAATACAGATAAGCCCCCACACGGGAGAAACAATGTATTCCACAATTTCCAACACTTCAATCTCATGCTATGATCCCAACCCATAGCCCAGTTCATAAGAATGATTAACTACCCAACCCAGTCTAGAAGAAGGATAAGACAAACCTACCTCGAAGGCCGAAACTTCACTCGAATCACTCTACCGATGCTTTTCCTCTATCAACAGTCTCGAAAAGATCCCCAACTATCAAAAATGGAAGATAGACATCAAGAGGGTTACAACGATACCCATATTGCTAAGGTTACCGAAAATCTCATTGCAATAAAAAAAGTTAAATCAGAATTTTAGTTGAAAAGAAAATCCCTCTAGTAAAAAGAAGTTCGTGGTTGAAAACCCCATAAAAAACGAGTAGGAATTGGGCATAAAATCAAAGAAATACCAAATTTTGAATTTGGGGGGAAAACCCTCATCTGGAATCTTTATTTTTAAGTGTTTTGAAGATGAAATTCGAAGAAAACGATATAGAATCGAGAAAGGGACTTACCTACATGAGTTTCCTCAAGAAATTTCTCAAAAGTCTCTTCTCCCAATGGCCAATTGAGTGAAAATGGAGGAAATAAGAAAAAAAGGGAAGAATCCGAAATAGGGCTGTTTCAGCCCAAAAAAGGGTATGATGACATTGGCACCTGAAAAATGCATTTTCTATCTTATTAAAGTCTCCGAACAGACCCTTGAGATTCGTTCGGGATCCGATAAAAATAAACCAAATATGTTATCCCACTAAATTTGATCTTTTGCACTCAACGGAATTGTCGGATTTCCAAAAAAATATTGTTATGACAAAAATACCCTCTCGGACCTCTCTTAGGCCAAAAACTCAACTTCTCGCTAAACACCCAAGGTCTCGGGACTCTAACCAACCACCCTACCAGACCAAACTCGATGTTCCGGATGCAACGAAACTGACAGAATTATCATCCGATGTGTGGATCTCGTAATGCTGACCAAAGTCAATTATTTCAATATAACTCCACTCAAAATCTCACCCGAACGCATTGGGGACCACGCTAACCATTCCCGCAACACATACAAAGTATGATAACACTAAGGGGAAGAGCGGAATGGTCATTTCACTCCTAAAGGTAATTTCTCATGAAATGGGAAATCTAACAGGTTAACAGAAAACTCATGTACGTGAAGAATGGATGATGATGTAATATTAGGTGTACAGACAACAAAACTTGTTCCAGAAATGGGGGTTAGAGAGTCATTGGCTGTTTCTGACATAATTTTCTTTTGGCACTAGGAGAGCTATATGATCTGTACACTTAGCTTGGAAATCCGGATAATAGTCAATCTCCTTCCATAAACCACTTACAACATCATATCCTATGTAGTCTACAAAGTGAGGACTGAGGAGGGTAGACTGTACGCAAACCTTAACCCTACCTGAGAGATAGAGAGGCCGTTTTTGATAGACCATGGACTTGAGAAAAATAGTCCAAAGCAGTTCAGAAAGAAAAATATGGAAGTACAAAAAAACATATAGTAACAGAACAGTACTACAACAAAACAATATGATAGTTGAAGTACATGATCCAACCGGTAGTAACAGAAATTGAAGGACAAGAAACTACAAGAGTAATATTACGACTACTAGCATGGACGGACAACAAGACAATGCACTCCCACCTACTAACTTCTACCCTAATTCGTGTCCTCCACAACCTCCTATCTGAGGCCATATCCTCCGTAAGCTGAAACTGTAGCATGCCCTTTCTAGTCACCTCTTGCCAATACTTCTTCAGTCTACCTCTCCTAAAACCATCTATAGCCAACCATTCACACCTCCGCACTGGGGTATCTATGAATCTCCTCATCAATCATCACATGCCCGGACCATCTCAATCTTGCTTTCCGCATCTTGTCCTCCACTAAAGCCACTCCCACCTTGTCTTATATATTCTCGTTTCTAATTTTATCTCTCCTAGTATAATAAATTAGTGATAGTCAACTCACCTTACTTAATGCACTAATTTTACTTACAAATCTCAAAGATCTGAGCATCATTACCCTTGAGAGAGCAAACACACTTTGTTGAAATCTAGATCTTTTAAGCAGTATCAAGCAATAAATATTGCTTAGAGATTCGGGGGTGCATAGTAATCAAAAGTCATGTCATAACAATTGAATTCTCGAAATCCCATAGACCATTATTAGATGTGGTAGGTTGTTTATTCTCTCCACTAATATAACCAAGTAATTTTTTAGATTTAATATAGAGAAAACAAGACTTTGAGCAAGCAAGATACGTACAGCCGCATCTAGTTTCACAACATTGATTTGTGGAAGAATATTATTCTCCACTGTCTTTATGTCCTCCATAGTTTTAATAGTACTTCAAATCAGAAATTAGAATTTTCTAAAACTCTAGAAGGAAATTATCTTCAAATCAGTTCCTTAGAGAAGGAAAAAACTGGAAAATTGACGTACAAATCTGTATCGCCGGAAAACCAGGTCTGCCTCATTCAGAACCTTAGCTCCGAGGATTTAAAATACCTGAAACTTGGTGAGTAGTCTCTTAATTGACAAGCGAACCGAAGCTATTAAGAATCTCGATTTTGTATACGGAGGGGGAATTGGGAGATTGAAGAGGATGTCACCCACATGTATTGGTGCAAGGTAGACGAAATAGAGGCACATCCAGATTCTTGTGTGATAAGAAGGCGCCACCAAAACTTAAAAGGCAAGTTCTATAGAGTTGTGGTTAGACCGACTTTGTTGTATGGGGCAGAGTGTTGGCTAGTTAAGAACTATCACGTCAGAAGATGAAAGTTGTGGAAATGAGAATGTTGTGATGGATGTGGGGGGGGGGGGCATACTTGTAGAGATAGGATTCAAAATGAGGATATTTGACACGAGGTAGGAGTGATTTTGGTGGAGGACAAGGTTGAGAAGGCTCGAGCATGTGAATAGGAGATGCATGGATGCCTCAGTGCAGAGATATGGGAGGTTGGCTATGAATGGTTTCAAGAGAGGCAGAGGTAGACCAAAGAAGTATTGGGGAGAGGTTTTTAGATATGACATGACAGTTTCAGATTATTTTGAGGACATGACCTTAGGTAGGAGGGTGTGGAGGACACAAATTAGGGTAGAAAGTTAGTAGGTAGTAGTGCATTGTCTTGTCTTCCGTTCATATTAGTAGTTGTAGTGGTGCTCTTGTAGTTTCTTGGCCCTTGATTTTCGTTACTACATGTTGTTTCTTGTATTATCGTATTATTTTGTTGTAGTTATTGTTCTGTTGCTATAGGTTGTTTTTATTATTATTTGTTGTTTCTTGTACTTCTGTTACTCCTTTTTGGGACTGCTTTGGACAATTTTTCGTCAAGCCGGGGTCTATCAAAAACAACCTCTCTACCTCTGAGGTAGGCCGTAGGGGATAAGGTCTACGTACACTCTACCCTCCCCAAAGACCACTTTGTGGGACTACACTGGGTCTGTTGTTGTTGTATATGGAGGGGGAGGGGTGGGCACTGCACTCACCACTCAGAAGGAAGATGTTGGAGCAATGACTGTTATCATGCTTAAATCCTTAAAACTATATTAGCTGGGAATATATTAAACAAATGTTTCGAACAGTTGAAGGTTGGTTAGTGAAGTAGAGAAAAGCACAAACCTAAGAATTTGTCGCTTTACATTTCAGAGTCACTTATCTGAAGCTTATATTCATCTTTTCAGGTCTATTCGATCAAATTATTCATTCAACTGAGAATGTTGATATTAATGGGCTGTTCAAGCATCTCTATCCGAAGGTATGATTTGTCACTCTTGTTTATTGGAAGAAAACTAATATTTGTGTGCTTAACCTTCTTCATTTCTTCAGGTTATGGTGGGATTACCGCTTCTAAGAGGAATAAACCCAGCTTCATGTTTTCCACGAACTGCTATTGGCTATGAGGCCACTTGCTACAGTCACATCTGGAGTGAGGTGTCCTGCTCATCCTTGTTTGTATTTGTTTACTTAACAAGTTTGTCATTCATGGATGTGTTCCTAAAGCCTAACAGCTTTTGATACATGTTTTCTTTTCCTCCATTTACTCCCTCTATTTCTTTTATATGGCACTCATTTTTATTGTTTGTTCCAAAAGGGATGACACCTTTATATACTTCAAAATTTCTAACTTTGAACTTACTATTTACCATTCATGACATGCTCTTATGACAATAGAAATATCATGACATGTTTAAGATCACAAGTTCCAAGGACATTTTTGGTATGTTCTAAAAGTCTTTCTTTCTTTGTTATATTAAGCTCATGCCCAACCAAACATGGCCATATAAAATGACATGGATGGAGAGTCAAATTTGCTAAATGCATCACGAGCTACCTCATGTCATGCTTTCTCATTAATTTTCCAAAATTTCAGCAGTTTTTGGAATATAGATGTTCTATTTGATATATGTTTTGTGGTTTTGATAAATTAATCAATTTCTCCCTAGGTTTTTGCTGCTGATGTATTTGCCTCGAAGTTTCATGATGATATTTTCAACGTGCAAACAGGTTTGCAATTTAGGAATAAGGTACCAAGTACATCCCTGAGATTACTCTCCATTTACCTTACTTGGATTTCATGTTTAGATTGACAATATTTCGGCTTCCCTGTCAGTAACTTATGGTAATCCACTTAACACATATAGATGTCTGATTCTGCACGAATGGGTTAGTATTCCTAAAACCTGAGTGATTAGTATTCGGTGATCCTAATAAATAACCTAACATTGATAGATCACTTTTTCTTTTGCATATTTAAAGACCAGAACTAGCTTTTGCAATAAGAGGTGTAATTTTCCTCTTCTTTTTGTGATTATCGTAGGCACAAGTTTTCCTTCGGGGACATCCGATTTTGAAGTGACATAGCCTGATATGTCCAATACTGCAATAGTTGCAAAACCTAGATTACCATTGACATGTACCTCAGATGTTTTTCAAAATTTCCAAATTTCATATCTAACCAACTGAACCCCTCTAAGCCACTAGGACTGCTGTGTCATCCACATTCAGCTATGTTTCTATCAATTTGACACCACCTCCAAGGGCCAGTAAAGGTGAAACTTAAAATTTCACTGAACAATAGAGAACCTTGTCTACATGCAATTCCCCCATTCTCTAATTACGATTGCAGTATAAGCCCCTGCTCCTTGAAATATTAGGGCCTTTCTGGCTATGAGTATTGAGTTTCACTTATTATTAAAGGTCTTTTCGTTTCATGACAAGACTCAAGTTGAGGAAGTCTTTGTGTTCCTTCGTAAAGTGAGTGCAGTTTCTAAAATCTGTCAGGGAGATCTCATCCTAAGCTCCTTGCTGAATTGCTCATGCATTTTCTGAAGTAATGACATGAGAAAACTGTCCTTTTTGGCACTTAAAAAAATATTTTCGCTTTGTGATAGGTTTTGGCTCCAGGAAGAGGAAAAGAGCCCCTTGAAATGTTGTCAGATTTTCTTGGGAGGGAACCATCAATACAAGCTTTTCTTGACAACAGAGCTGATATAAACTAGAGCTATGTTTCACTTTTAATAGCAGGGTGATTTTTTCTGCCCCATCCTGTAAAGTTGTAGAAGCTGGCAAGAAATATACTATTTCTCATTATGATAATACTCTAGGAGAAGAAACAAAAAATACCAGAAATGTGATGTGGTTGAGCTGTTGCTAATGTAATGTTATTCTCCCTTTTGGAGTTTCATAATTATTTTTTGTATCAAATAACAATTTGCAATTGTGAAGTTATACGGTATCATATCCCTGTAACTGTTATTTTGTAACAGAATAACAAAAGAAAGTAGAAATATTAACGCCATATAAGAGCCGTGAGATGAAGGTGTTACAAAGGTCAATTTTATTTCACGGGGTAATTTTTGGACATCGTTATCTAACTTATATCCAGTTTTTTCTCTTTTGAACTTGTTTGCATGACTACTCCTGTCATCTGTTCTGCCAAATAACAAAAAGGTATTAAATAATTGAAGATGCACATTCTTTTCATTCTTCCCTGCTTTTCTCCTTCACTCTCATTTCATACAAAAACTGAATTTTATTGAAAATATTTTAGGCCTTTTATTAAGGTTGGCTTTATGCCAACATATTGTTAAGCTTCCCATGGCTACAAACATTGAACAGCAAATAATTTAATCAGAGAGTAGGTATAACTTGTTGATGGTTGGAACAAGTTTTAGAGCCACTCTTTTTCTAGTAGCCAATCCAAATATCTCAGACAAGTTGACATCTTGAGCTTCTACTCCAGTAGGCAATTTCCAATCAAAGTGATACAACAAACGAGCCAATGATAACTCAATTGTAGCTAATCCAAGAGCGTAACCTGGACAACCTCTTCTCCCTCCTCCAAACGGTAGAAACCTAAAATCTTGTCCCCTGAAATCGATATCCTTCTCCATAAACCTTTCGGGATTGTAGTCAAGAGGATTGTTCCAATACTCTGGATCTCTTCCAATGGCATAGGTGTTGATCAAGACTCTAGTTTTTGCAGGTATTTCATAGTCATCGAGAGTACATTTTTCGATGGATTCACGAGGTACTAGAAGAGGGACAGGGGGATGCAGTCGCATAGTCTCCTTTATTACTGCTTTCATGTAGTGTAGATGTTGAAGGTCAAATTCTTCTACCTTTCCTTTATTAGCTGCAATTTCCCTTACTTCATCTTGTGCCTTTTTCATAACACTTGGATGTCTAGCCAACTCTGTCATTGTCCATTCTAGTGTAGCTGCTGATGTATCTGTTCCAGCCACAAACATATCCTGTAGTGTAAAGTATAATTGTGTCAGTAGTTCTAATAATTTTTTGCTTAAATAATATATTTGTATTAATATGTTAATTAAATATTATGTATAAATATTAAGTTTGGAACCCAATTATAACACTTGAAATTGTTATAATAAAATACAGAACCCTTAGGGTTAAAATTCTGACTTCGCCTCTAGACTCAACTATAGAAGTAGGGGTGGGCATGATATGGTATATACCAAAATACCATACCATATTGAAATTTTTAATACTGTGGTTGGTATTATGGTATTTGGTGTAGTGTACATTTTAATTTTTTTTTTGCATTTGATACGATATTTGATATTTAGAAATAACATATCGGAATACCGAATACCATACTGAAGTATATAGCTGCATAAATATATTATTAAAATACTAACAAATATGCAACATAGTATGAGTATAAACTAAATGTTTAGAAGTTAAAATTTTGACTACTCTATTTTGATTGAAATGCATTTAAATTGTGTTTGATTAATAAAAGAGTTGTGTGTACTAGATTTTGCATATATATATTTCTACATGTGTAATGTGTTAGCATGATACAATTAAGATCTTTTTTTAATTGTCGAAGTCATAATAATCTATTAGTTGAAGTTGAACAACTTATGATTGCCCATTTATCAATACCGAAATCGAGCTTTAATATACCGAATTGGTATGATAATGTTTTAAAAATGAAACTTTCGTTTCAAAACAAGAAAATTGAATTTGAATGAATACCAGAATAAGAGCTTTGAGGTTGTCATCGGTGATGGGCACTTGTAGATCATCTCTTTTTTGAACCCTCAGCAATACATCAACAAAGTCTTCTGAACCATCGCCGTTTTGATCATCATCTCTCTTTTTCATCAAATGCTCGTCTATAATCTCATCACAAACTTCTCTCAAATCCTTCAAATTATTCATCAATCTCTTCTTCATCCCACTCAACCAATTAACCCATTCCCAATCTGGAAAAAAATCCCCTAAACAAAACCCCGCTAACAACGCCTGTGTCTCCGTTAATACACTCACTAAATCCTTATCTTTCAATCTATCATCAATAAATCTCTTCCCAAACGCCACTCTACACAAAATATCATTCGCAAGAGCAAAAAAAACGTGACTCAGATCTAGTTCAGACTGAGAATGAGACGAAATCAATTGTATCATACGGTTAATTTCCTCATTTCGTATGAATTGAAACGAGTTAACTCGTTTTGAACTGAGTAATTCCGTTACGCAGATTTTTCTAGCTTGGCGCCAGTAAGGACCGTAAGGTGAAAAAGTGATGTCCGAGCAACCGAAGGAGAGGTATTGAGCTGCAATGATTTGTGGGCGGCTGCAGAAGATATGGTCATTTGTTTTGAGGATGAGTTCAGCTAGTCGAGGAGAAGAGATGATTAGAGTTGGGATTTGGCCGAGTTGAAGGTGGATTATTGGACCGAGTTTTTGAGAGAGATGGAAGAAGGTATGGTGGGGCATGTCGGTGAGGAGATGGAGGTGACCGATTATAGGGAGAGATGGTGGAGATGGAGGCCGACGCCATCGTCTGATTTTGTAAAAGAGAATTGTGCAAGATGTAAGTGATAGTAGAAGAAGTAGTTGCAGAATTGATGCTTCCATTTCTTCTGCTTTTTTTTTGTTCGAGAAATTTATGAACAAAATTTTGAGGGTATTGTACGTGTTTAATGTATATGGGGAGTGATGTAATACTTTTGGAGTTTTTGAACACAAATTCTATACTTCCTAGTAGTTGGGCAGAAGGCGGATAGTCTACTACTGCTCCACCACAAGCAGCTCTCTATATCAAGAGAACAGTATTTTAGAAAATTTAGAGTCGATATTAAAATTTGAAGTCGGTGGATTTAAATGTTGATAGTTTTTCGAAAATTTCAACAAAATTCATTACCTTTGCATTGCTTTTGTCTTTGAATGTTCACTCTGTGGTGAATATTTTATAGATAAGCACTTATATTATAATTTGTTCAGTGCAGTAGCTCACAAATCATTATGTGAAATCATTTTATTAAATGTAAAATAAATATTTATAAATTTTAGATGTTATTGATTAAATGATTTTAAAATTATTATTCTAAAATAAAAATTATTTGACATGATTTCCTTCACTTATTTCTTTACTTTCAAAATAAGTCTTTCTTTACCATCAGTAAAAGCAATGCTAGACTTGTAGAGATTCACATTTTGTCCCTATATTTCCAAGCAAATTAACACTACAACAAATGACCTTAATTTAAATGTTGTAATTTGTTAGGTATATATTTAATAAATTTTAATGATAAATATGTAAATTTTCTTGTCCTCTTTCATTTCATTTTAATTATTTTTATTTAAAAATAAATATTTTATTCATTTATTTATTTTAATAATTTCAGTTAAATTTTTTTTGCATACTATTCAAAATATCAAATAATTATATAAATTAATGATAATTAAAATTTTAAAATATTACTATTAACAAAATTAATTTAATAAAATACATAAATAAAAAAAAAATTTAAAAAAAAAATCAAATACTCCACAAATAATTATAAAACAAAGACTCTATTTGGTTGATTAAACTCAAAGCTGATGTGACTTTTGTCCTATTTAGAAAAAAAAGCTAAACATTATCGGATGAAAATCTTCTGCTTGATAAGACAAGAGTGTTTGAAAAGTCATTTCTCTCTCCTAATTGACCATAAATGTCACATTAAATTTATTTATTTGAGTCAAAAACACATCTAATTTTTTTTATTTTTTTTGAAGTTTTAATACTTTTAAATTATTAAATTATTAAAAATATAAGTTTCATACTTAAGCTATCACTTATTAGTTTGAGAAGCATATATCTCTCTTTTATTACATTATTATCATGGTGTGTGTAATACACTTTCTCTTTTATTTAAAAAAATTATACCATCACACTCCACATGAACAAAACATTTCACTTTGACAAAAATTAAATACATTATTAATATTAGTTAAAGTTAAAAATTAAAGTATTACTATTCCCTAAAAAAATTATAAAATAAAATGAAAAACATTTTTCTTACCCCACTCCACCCTTTATCTCATCGTACTCCCACATCCCAAATTTTTAGTTTTTTTTAAAAGAAAAATATCTTTTATAAAAGTTTTAAAAAAAATTCTTACTTCATCTACCCTCCCCCAATCCCTTCAAATAATAATTTAGATATAATTTATTTTTAAAAAAAATAATTCTACTCCACCCAACATAACCCTCCGCTTTATTTTATTTTTTCCTTTTGTATTAAAAATATATATCTTTGTTTAAAAATATTTTTTTCTTGTCGCAAGACTTTTTTTTTAAATAATTTTTTATTTCTGTTATATTCGATATGCAAGTAGAAAAAAATATTTTCTTACAAATATATATTCACATTTAACACAAAATGAGAAAATGTAAAATAAAAATAAAAAATTAGAAGCGGTGAGATAGACAGGGTGTGTAGAATTTTATTTTATATTTTATAAAAAAAATAATACTATCAATTTTTTTAGGGAAGGGGGTGAGGTCTGAATTTTAAAAATATTTTATAAAAGAATTTTAAAAATAAACGGACGGAGGGATTGTTGTGGGGGGGAGGGGGAGGAGATGGTGGAGGTGAGAAAATTATTTTAAATTTATTTTTTTTAAAAATAATTATTTCAAAAATAATAATTTTTTTTATAGTAATACTTTAATCTCTAGTTTTTTAACTAATATTAATAGTTTATTTAATTTTTGTTAAGGTAAAATATTTTATCCATGTGGAATGTCATATGACAAAGATTATGCAAATAAA